TTCTTTCCATATTTATTTCCTTTTTTTACCGTGTTTTTTTTTTTACAAGTCTGTTTTGTTCTATTTATTACTTTGATGCTTGTATGTTCACTGGGAGATAAATTCCTTGTGTGTCCAATCCCAGCTGGCCAATAAAGAATATTCTATTCTACTTTATTCTGTTTTATCTATTTATCAAATTTCTACACTGCCCACTACAGTTGTGTCTAGATTATCTTCTGCCCACTCTCTCCACATTTTTAATTTATTTATTTAGCATATTTTCATACTGCCCATCACACTTGAGTGTGTCTGGGCCACCTTCTCCCTGTTCTTTCCGTGTTTATTTTTCTTATTTATTTGGCAGATTTCTCCATCTCCATTTCTCCATCTGCCCACCACACTTGTGCCTGGCCCACCTTCTGCTTATTCTTTCCATGTTTGCTTTTATTTTATTTAGCAGATTTTTATACTGCCTATCAGAGTGAAGTGCCTCTGGGCTATGTAACCATAAATTCAATTTGCAAAAACGATGCAAAAAAACCAAGGAGAAATGAATTTATCTTACAACCAATTCATCTGCTGGTCAGCAACTCCAACAATTCCAGGTAAGGCAAAAATTGGACACGTTATTGGGAAGACGCAGCCGGCCCAAACTCCTGTTTCATTGCAACTTTGCAAAAATAGCAATCATCCCTTGGAAAATTATCTTAGGAGGGAGAAAGGTTAGCAAACTCTTGGGGATTACTGCTTCCTTTCTCAGTTTCCAAAGCACACACGTTTGTGACACACACAATACGTGCACATACCCTCCAGGTTTGAAATCACATTGAGCCACCATGACACACAACGTGGAGGCTACAACTAATAGGAACTCTTAATGATGCCCACAGGAAAGTCAACAGGCTGGGCTGACACATTTCACCAAACCGTAGTTTGCTAAATCCTTAATCCGTCAACTCACCCCCCCCCCCCCACTGGATAGTGTACTCATCCGTGCCGAGCCATAAACCATGGTTTGCCAATGCCCAAGCCAAGCAAGGCTCACTTTTCTGCAGCCCCTCATGTGAGCAGGCGTGTGTTTATCTCTGTTAATACCTTAAGGAGCAATACTGCATCCATCACACGGTTGATTCACCCTGAATCGGTCAAGAAATTTTGTTCTTTTCAATTTCACTCTTATCTGCCCAAAATGTATTTATGGGATCCAGCTGTTTGCTCCTTATCAGGCTGGGAAATTCTTTTTTTCCATTCCTACGAAACCAAAAATCCCTCAAGGAATTTCCAAACAGAGATTATTTTAGCAGAAAACTCTCTGCTAAAAAAATAATAATAATTAATTACCATACAAATTCCTTGTGTGTCCAATCACTCTTGGCCAATAAAAAATTATATTCTATTCTATCAAAGATGCTGCTGTTTGGACTATAGAGGCAGAAGATCTCCTACCCAAGTCCCTTTTTCAATCAGAAAATAAACTCAGAATAAATAAAACTCCTTCTTACACACGTGGGCCACTTTTTTACACGATTATTCCCCATCCTAAGGTCACTTGATGGCTTTTGCCATCAAAATACCCTTTACTTTCTCATCGCTATTGTTGTTTTAATTTACCAGGCACAAGATGTGTGTTCACACAACTCCTTGTTCCTGTTCAGGCAGCTTCATTTATTGCCCAAACCACACCAGGTTAGGTTCATGCAACAGGCAAAAAATTTTTTTCCCAGGAAAGAAAGAATAGGGAGACTTAGAATTTCACCTTCGTCTTCATCAACCTCATCTTCGTCATCCCTCATCGTCTGTCACTTTCAGGAATGCTCTTTGTGCTTTTTAAAAAAATCCCTTTTACCCCATTTCCATGGCCTAAGGGCTTGCTTTATTTTATTTTATTTTATTATTATTTTTTGCATTTATCTCTATGCCAGAGTTTCTCAACTTTGGCAGCTTTTAAGAGCCGTGGATTTCAACTCCCAGAATTCTCCAGCCAGCCCATGAGATGGTGGAAGAGCAGAGCTAAATGTTTGAAATCCATTTTCTGCCCTAACTAAAGAGGCCTCTTCTTTTATTATCCGAAGGATTCCATTTTCAGGCCCAAACTTTCCAGAATAACAACTCCAATTTTACACATTGTTTTTGATGGCTTTCTATTTCCTTTAGAAGGAACATCAACATTCATGCTAAAAGCATTCTGTTAGGGGTCACGAAGCGTCTCCAAGAAAACAAGCAAGCTCCGAGAGCACCAAGGACTTCTCATTTCAACCCTGAGCTACACACTTTATTAGCATTCTATTTTTTTCCCCCCTTAAAATTGAAAATATTCTTTTTCCTCGTTTGCTTGGAATTCCTCCTTGACTGCAAAAGTTGAGGCATCTCGTTCTTACAATCGTCACTTTAAATACTTCCCCTCCTTAAAACACTCCTTCATTTATTAGTTCCCCTATTATACGCTCATAATTAGCTCTCGGGACCACCCACACTAAATCATTTTGAAATTCCGGTTGTGCTGCTCTGAAATACCCCCAATGGTTTTTTTTTGTTGAGATTCAGATTTAGCAGACTAAAACTGCTCATCCCCGAAACCAAGTTACCTTCTGCTTAGAACAGAGGGGTGTCCAATCATGCGAACCTGTGGACTTCAACTCCCAGAATTCCCCAGCCAGCCATGTTGGCTGGTTGGGGAATTCTGGGTGTTGAAGTCCACAGGTCTTAAAGTTGCCAGGGTTGGAGACCTCTTGTCTAGAAAAGAAATATTGTCTCATCCTTCTGGCCTTCAAACGTGCTTTTAAGTCAAGAGAGGTGCAATTTTAAGACTTGTGGACTTCAACTCCCAGAATTCCCCAGCTAGCAATTCTGGGAGTTGAAGTCTACCAGTCTTTAAAGTTGCCAAGGTTGGACATTCCTTGTCTAGAAAATAAACCTGGTTTAGTGTGAAGCACTTTTTCCAAAACAATCTTACAAACATGAACAGCAGCAAAAAAAAATTCCAAGATTGCTCCAAAAGGAAAGTTTTGCATGATACGATCTAAATATCAACAAAGAGTTATTCCAACATGTGCAGTTGTGTGTTTTCTTGTGTTTTCTTGTCCTTTTTCCCAATCTCCCTGGAGTACCATAGCAGCGAAGGTACTAAATTAAAACTCCGGAAAAACACAGGCAAATCACTTCTGACAACTTTGCCAAGAAAACTTATATACGGAGTGGGGCCCGAAGGACTATAACAACAGAACAAGCAAAACACCACATGCTTTGAGTTGTTGTTGTTGGTTTTTTTTTTCACAACCAGGGAGGGCCTGGGGATGGCGAAACAACAGAGGAGAGAAAAGGAAGCAAGACACCGGGATTCTGTATTGTATCTTGAGTTTAATCGGACTATAATTGCACTCAGAATTCACACGTTCTTGTGGCCCTAAGGAGCAATGTAGAGCCGGGTTAAATTCAGCTATCAGGGATTTCCCACACCCCCCCACCACCACATTCTGGAAACACTACTGGTTGCCTTCACACCTCTCACAAAGCTGAATTGTGGATTTGTTTGCTTTTTGGCTGGGCTGGCTGTTTATTCATTAAGCTGCTTAGCTCCCTGCCTGGTTTCCAGGATCACCCCCCCACCCCCAATCTGTGCAATTTCCACACCGCTTAATTCAGATGGTCAAGAGGGACTTGTGCCCTCACCTAAGGACCCCAAAGCAGGATTTGCACCTGGGGGGGTGGTTATCTGGACTCGCCACCTTCTTCCTCTTTCTTTCTAAATAGACCTGAGATGTTGGGGTACAGGAAGAAGAAAACGTAGAGCTCTCTGCTCAGCAGGATGGCCTTCTTTTAATTATCCGGATAATTAATTAAGCAATGACTGGTAGGAGGAATGACCCAGGAAAAGGAAGGGTTCCCAGCGATTGGGGGGAGGAAGAGTTGGGGGGGTAGAAAGCTCCCCCACTCCTCAAAAGGATCTCCCCTCTAATTTCTTCCCTTTTTCTAAGCTGGTTCCTAGGCCAGGAAACCTATCATTTAAATGCCTTCCAGATAATCTCCGGTCAAGTAATCTCTATCAAAGCCTTCCCCCACCCAAGCCTTTTTAAAAGAGACCCCCATTTTGGGGGGCCACCCCCCACCTCCCTGAAAAGGCCAGAGCAGGTCCCTTCTGACAACCTGCCACTGAATGGAGCCTGTTGGGTGAACCTATCCACCAGGCCATTCCACGGTTCAAGTGTTTGCATTCTCCCCCACTTTTGGGGGGCACGCAGCTCCCTTAAGCGGGGGGGTCCAGCGGATTGTGTGAACCCCGCAGTCGGATCCCAGCTCTTTAGAGAAGCCTCTCAGGTGCCTTCGGTGAAGAATAACTTTCAGAAATTAACTCAAAACACTGCCATCCCTTCCCCCTCCCTGCAAGGTAGGCCTGTCTTTCCTGGGCTAGACACCCCCCCAAGTCAACCGTGGTCTCCTTCCTTGAGAGAGGCGACCCCCTTTTCCAGAGGCTTCCCCTCTCCCCAAAAGGAACTCCATCCCCAGACTTTTCCTGGGTGGCGGGTTCTCCTCCTCCTCCTCCTCCTCTCCAGCTTGTCTTGCAAATGCCCCCCTTCCCACGACCTTAACCCCCTGCACCCTACCTCCCACCCCCTTGCCAAGCTTTTTCCGGGCCGCCTCCTCCTCCTCCTCCTTTGGGGGCTCCACTCGTTCTGCACCCCGCGAGACCACGACTCTCCCGTGCGCGCAAAAGAGCTCTTGTCAACAAACCCTCCGGCTCCTGCCCCGACACGTGTCGGCCCCTCTCCCTCCTTCTTCCCCCCCTTCACCGGGGCTTCCTCTCCCTCCCCTTGGAACCACCCACCCGGCGCGCCTCCTCCTCCTCCTCCTCCTCCTGTTCTCCCCCCTACCCCCCCTGCGCTCCCAGCTGCATCTCCAACCTGGCCCGCGGCGGGCGCCCCCCATCCCCATCTCGCCATCCTCCCCACCAGCCGCTCCTCCTCTTCTTCTCCTTCCTCCTCCTCCTCCTCCTTCCCACCCGGTCCCGGCGGGGCACTTACTGCGGGGGCAGCTGGAGGGGCGGCCCTCCCCTCCGCTGGAAGGCTCCGTCGACGAAGACGCCGTTCTTGCCGAGGCAGCGGAGGAAGAAGTGGGGCGCGCGGAAGGCCAGCTCCAGGTGGCGGCGGGAGATGAAGCTGGAGTGGCCCATGTGCACGTCCACCGCGCCCTGCGAGGAGTTGCGCCCGATGCTGACCGCCGCCTGGCGCATCAGGAACTCGAAGTCGCGGCCCTGCAGCCGGGCCAGCGGCGCCCCGCCGGTGGTGGTGGTGGAGGAGGAGGAGGAAGAAGAGACGGAGGAAGATGAAGAAGCCGCGGGGACGAGCGGCAGCAGCAACGGCGGAGGCAGCGGCTGGGGCGCGGCGGGGCTGCAGGGCGCCGAGCGCAGCGCCACCAAGGCTCCGGCCCCGCCGCCGCCGCCGCGCCCGTCCTCGCCGACTTCAGCCATGATGTTCCCCGCCAGCCAGCGTGCGAGCCAGCCAGCCGACTCCCCCGCCGGCCTCCGGGGCGGAGCCGCGGCCGTAGGGGGAGCCGCCCCGCTGCCGTTTGCAGCCGCCGCCGCTGCTGCTGCTGCGCCCTGCTTGGCTAGGCTAGGCTGGGTGGAGAGGGGAGGGGGGACCTCGTTGCGCACGGGTTGGTGGGGAGGGGGCGGCCCGGGGGCGGGGGTCGACGGGGGGGTCGATTAGAGGAGGGGTCGGCCTAGCTGGCAGGCGCCTCCGCGGACCCCTCCCCGCGCGTGGGGAGGGGGGCTGGCGCTTGGAAAGAGGCTGGCGCTTGGAGAGGGGTGGTCCCGGCTGGGTGCGGGTTGGGGAGGAGAGTGGGGAAGGGGTGGGTCTTGCCTATGCGGGTCTTGTATGTGTGTGTGTGACCCGGGAGGAGGGTGGATGGGGTGGATGGGGGGAAGGGAGGCGACCGCGTGGCCGGGCAAAACAAACACGATCGGGCCGGGCAGGGCTGGCTGCTCCCCGCGCCCCCCCCCCGGAGGGAAGCGGCCACTCGAGTCTTGGGGCGAGGAGGGGGCGTTGTCCCTTTCCACGGGGGGCTGGCTTTCTCGGGGGGGGGGCGGGATGTGTTTCAAGGGTTTTGGGGGGAGGGCGTTGGTGGAGTTTGCCGGGCTGGGGACCATGGGGGTTGTGGTCCGCCTGGCCTGGAGGATGGGTGGGGGGATTCTCCGGGGGTGCTTCTGGACCGCCCGCGGTCTCGTGGGGGTGGGTGGGAAGAGAAAGCAGGTTGGAGGGAACAGAAACTGAGCTGGCTGGCGCAAAGGGAGGTTGGCACGGATGTAGAGATGGGTGGAGGCGAGGCGACGTCAGTCCGGGGTGGGCCCCGGTGGTGGCAGCCGCTTGGGAGGGGAGGAAAGGCCGTTATGCAACCTCTCTGGCAAGCAGGAGGGAAGCCTGCCCTTTCGGAGTCCCCGCTTGGGGTTGCGTTTTCACACGACGCTCTTTGACTCGTTTGCACCACGCGGTTCTAGGCGGAGTTTTAGACAATCTGCTCTGCAAAGTCCCCGGAGGCAGGTCGTGGGAATGCAACCTTTAGCGTGCTAACCCGAGTTGAGCGCGTTTTTTGTGTTGCAAAATTGCCTTGTTTTCATCCGTCCTTGGCCGGGGCCGGGCAAAACACAACCCAGGCCGGCCGAGTTTTGCATCAGGGGAGCGCGCAAAGAAGCAGCGCGTAATTGCAAAAGAGCGCGCAAGGCGCAAAGTGTCAGCTGGCCCTTGACAATTGGGGGTGGGGGGTGGGGGGCTCCTCCGGGCATGCACGGTGGGCGTGAGAGACAGTCGTGCAAGCCACGTGGCGTCGGAGAGACCTTGCGGTTGGCCCTGGTGGGCCCCCTCCCCCTTTACACGCCCCCTTTTCATGTAGAGTGTAAACTTGGCGGCTGTAAGAATTCTGGGAGTTGAAGTCCAAACATCTGAAAAGTGGCCAACTTTTGAAAAACACTGATTTAGGTGGAGGGGAGGGGAAGGGATGATGTTTTCTCCCCCACTCCCGTGCCTCACCTCTCCCCCTTGTGTCTTCTTCACCTTAAAATCGCTAGATGCCACTTCTCCAAGAAGGTCCTTGTTTTCAACGTGCTTTCAAACTGCAAAAGAAGAAAAGTTTAAAAAGTTTAGGGGGCCAATGTAACAAAAGAACACCGCAGTTTCCCAGCTGGGAAAGGACCCAGAGGTGGGTTTCAGCAGGTTCTGACCAGTTCTGGAGAACCGGTAGCGGAAATTTTGAGTAGTTTGGAGAACCGGTAGTAAAAATGCTGACTGGCCCCACCCCCATCTATTCTCTGCTTCCCAGGTCCCAGCTGATTCAGTATCGTTCCCCTGGAGTGGGGAGGGAATGGAGATTTTACAGTATCCTCCTGGAATAGGGTGGGAATGGAGATTTTACAGTATTGTTCCCCTGGCGTGGGGAGGGAATGGAGATTTTGCAGTATCCTTCCCCTGGAGTGGGGAGGGAATGGAGATTTTACAGTATCCTTCCCCTAGAGTGGGGAGGGAATGGGGATTTTACAGTATCCTTCCCCTGCAGTGGGATGGGAATGGAGATTTTACAGTATCCTTCCCCTGCCACACTCACCAAGCCACATCCACCAAGTAATGCCACGCCCACCAAGCCACGCCCACAGAACCGGTAGTAAAAAAATTTGAAACCCACGACTGGAAAGGACAGCTTTAGAATAGAATAACTTTTAACTTTATTGTCACTTTGAATGTACACTAATCGGCATAACATTAAAATGAAAATTTCATCGCGTACAGCTCTCAAAAGAGTCACCACCTCCGATATACGCTACATAAACATGACAAGATAAATAAATGAATAAATACAAAATTATGCATATTCCCACCTATATGAGATAGAGAAACAAGACAGTCTCATTTGGATGTATACATGTAGATGGCGAAAAAACCCCGAATCTTGCGAGTTAGGAAGTACAGGGGGTGTCTGGGCATGTGTCACACCAATATTAGCCAATCCGATAAGTAGTGGGTTTCACATCCCGGCGCTACCAGTTCGCTATCGGTAGTGTGAGTGTGCAGCGCTCACATGCGCAGAGCGTTTTTGATGATGTTGGATGGGCGGAGCCTCCCACCACTACCGGTTCACACGAACCGGGAGCAACCCACCACTGAATCGGATGGGTGGCTGGGGAATTCTGGGAGCTGAAGTTCACCCATCTTCAATGTTAATTGAAGAGCTTTGGTGGCGCAGCAGACTAAAGTGCTGTTAAGTAGCACCAGCTGCCTGCAATTACTGTGAGTTCGAATCTCGGCAGGCTCAAGGTTGACTCAGCCTTCCATCCTTCCGAGGTAGGTAAAATGAGGACCCGGATTGTGGGGGCAATAAGCTGATTTTGTATATATATAAAAAAGAACACCACTTAGGGGGGCCGAAAGCCCTACTAAGCAGGTATATACAAAAGTATGAAGGCTATTGCTTAACGCATTGTAAGCCGCCCTGAGTCTCCGGAGAAGGGCGGCATATAAATCGAACCAATAAATAAATAAATAATGGAGAGTCTCAATCATCCAGGTTGTTTGAAAACATTTTGCTTCTCATCCAAGGAGCTTCTTCAGTTTAGAACTGAAGAAGACTTTTGGGTGAGAAGTGAATCTCTTTTTTTTTTCCAAAGAGAAAATTAAGAAAGTTCAGTTGCGTTTTGGAAAAGGCATCTTTGGGACATCAATTTTCAAGTTACCAAGGTTGAGATACATTGCTTTAAAGAGTGTTCTACCATCGTTTGATCGTCTTTTTAAACCTGTCAAATTATTGAAGAAGTGAGTTTACCTTTTCGTCCCAGATTGAGACATTTGAATGATGGGTGATTATCATTTCTGTCCCAAGCCACATTATTCCAAGATAAAAAAGTTTCTCTAATTTGTCAAACGTTAGATAAACTTTAAAAGCATTTCGGCCTGACCTAGAGTGAAACACACCCACAAGGAGTTTACAAACTTTAAATGCGTTTTGTTTCCATAAAAACATTTTTGTAAAAAGGTACACGTGAGGGTGGGTGTATTTTTACATGGAAGACAAATAGAAAACACAACGTCTCGGGAGAAAAATCCAGTTTTCTATTTGTGTGAATGAACTAGGTCTGGAATCTGAAAATAACACTTCCTTGAGTTTTACAGCTTGGATTTTTGTAATCTTACACTCATCAAGAATATATTAGCACCTTTTTTTTTTTTTTTAAAAAGTGTGTTTAGAATTTGAAAAGCTGTATAATCTATTTTTGGGTGCCAATTTTCTTTCCACGGTTACTTTCTTGGCCTGCTTAATGCAAACATATCGGGGTAGGAAATTGTTATAATAAAATATTGTTATAACAATATTATAAATGGCTATAAATGAGTATTGTAAAGGATGCCGAACATTTTTACAATAAGAGCCAAACAGGAAGGGGGAAACGATAGAAAAAAAAAGGCAAAGAAACAGATTTTCCTTGAGTTCCACTCTAACTAGGTGAAAAACTGCATTAAAATGTGTTAAAAGGAAGGTAATCTTCATGAACAAATCTTGTGATTTCTTCTAGGCCAAAAAAGTCGAAGTATTTTTTTTTTTTACAACAGCTGTGAAATAGTTATTAGGACCATAACGACAAGGCAACATATTACCAGCCCTGTGCCAGCTGCAAATATCATCTGTTGCCAACAGATTTATTTACTAAATTACTTTTTAAAAAATAGATTCTGTTCAGATGACAAGAAGTATGTTTAAAACGCTGTGTTTAAAACGGAATTGACTCATCTTTCTTTGGACTGAAGTTCCAAGCATTGCTATGGTGTCCCATTTCCATGTTTAAAATGCAATCTGGGAAGGAATCTGTTCCTTAGCTAGTGCAGAAATGAGACTTATTGGAAGGCAAGGAAGCAGGGTTGAGAGGATTTTTCAAGGATGGAGCCATTCAGGGATGTGTTAGGACTACTGCGGTATTTCTCAACTTCAGCAACTTTAAAAGGGGGGGACTTCAACTCCCAGAATCCCCCACAGGCTGGGGAATTCTGAGAGTTAGCATTCATGCCTCTTAGAATCAGTGAGGGTGAGAAATTGGCATGCACCACTTGGAGTGCCCACAGGATGGCAGCACAAAGCTAAACATTTTTCTGTAAGTCTCTTCTGCCATCTAGTGGTCCCCCATAATTTTTCACTCCAGATAAAGGTAAAGCTTCCCCTCGCACATATGTGCTAGTCGTTCCCGACTCTAGGGGTGCTGCTCATCTCCGTTTCAAAGCCGTAGAGCCAGCGCTGTCCGAAGACGTCTCCGTGGTCATGTGGCCGGCAGGACTCAATGCCAAAGGCGCATGGAACGCTGTTACCTTCCCACCAAAAGTGGTCCCTACTTTTCTACGTGCTTTTGAACTGCTGGGTTGGCAGAAGCCGGGACAAGTAACGGGAGCTCACCCCGTTACACAGCACTAGGGATTCGAACCGCCAAACTGCCGACCTTTTGATCGACAAGCTCAGCGTCTTAGCCACTGAGCCACCATGTCCTTTTTTCACTCCAGAT